CTGTTCTGCTGAGACGGGATCTCCTCTCTCATGTGAACGGGGCAATATCTCATCCTTGGCCCGACCTATGGGCCCTGCATCTCTGGCCGCTCGACGGGAGCATTTGAGCCTCCCAGAGTGAGTCTTAAACATGATTTCAGAGGCAAGAGCCCCGTCTACGAGACACCTCTATACCTTGAAGTGGTATTTTTTCTCCGCTTGGTGTCTAAACCACAGCAAGGACCCTCATACTTCCAATTTGACTGAGGTATTGTCATTTCTGCAAGAGCTGCTGGATAAGGGATGCTCCCCATCTGCGCTCAAAGTCTATGTGGCGGCTATAGCGGCCTCTCATGCCCCTATTGCGGGCCAATCGGTGGGCAGAAACAGCGCGGTTATCCGCTTCCTAAAGGGTGCCAGGAGGCTGAATCCGCCTCGTCCCCCTGCTGTCCCTTTATGGGATCTGCCCCCTGTGCTGAGGGCCCTTTCGAGCCGTTACAGTCTGCCAACATTCGTTCGCTATCGCTGAAGACTGCTCTGCTTCTAGCACTGGCATCAGTAAAGCAAATAAGGGACCTGCAGGTGTCAAAAGCTATGCAAAGATTGAATTTAAAGAAACAGTATCATAGCTATTAAACTATATCTTATTATTTTAAATTAGTATTTAATCTCAGAATGATCTCAGAGTAAAAAAAAAGATCTGCTGAAGTCTGATTTTGTGGTGGCTCTGCTTTAAAATTAAATTATTATAATCTTAATTCAAGTGATGAAGGATTCTGAAAGTCTGACAGTAATCAGTGTTGAGCACTACTGTAAGGTTAACCCTGCCTGCTTTAAATGTTTCAAAATGATAAACAGTTGAAAACATTAGTTAGAAATTTAGATCAAAAAGTGATCAAAAAGTAATCAAATGTAATCAGTTACATTAATGTAAGCATATTACATTTTAAATATGGTAACTTGTAATCTGTAACCTATTCCATTTCCAAAGTAACCTTCCAAACACTGATTATAATGATAGCATGCATGCCTTTGATTGTAACATTTGGGCATATTTGTGTATATGTTTCTGTATGTTCTTGCAGTATGTTTTGTACCAGTCACCTCTGTCACTTTCTATTCCCATGGTGATGCTGAGTATGGCTTCTCTCTCGTTCCAGCCCACTTCCTCTTTCCACCCTTGTCAGCAGTATTGTCTGCAGAATTAAGCATGCCTCAGCCATAGCGCCTTGTTTTTTTTTCTCTTTAATTAGTTCCAAATAATCAAGTGAGTCTAATTTTTGTTATTTGCCTATCCAGAGGCGAGAATATGTTGTAATAGGGCACAGAGGGCCCTTCCGTTCCACTGAAACTTTAACCTTTATTAATGCACACATAAAAGTTGGTGCATAAAAGAGTGAGATGAGGAGATGCTCTATGAATGCCCCCGAATGCACCTCACGCCGGCATTATGTCTCGCTCCCTGGAACGGCATGCAGATGGCTTGTTATGCTAAATGCAGACGGTGTTTTGATTAGGTTACTCCTACTTTCATCTGGGTGCTCTCAAACTGTGGACACAAAGGACTGCTCTTTGCTGCCTGTTTTATCTATGCAGTTTCTCTCTCTCTCTCTCTCTCTCTCTCTTTCTTAAAGTGAAGTTAAAGGTCTGAATACACAAAAAGCTCAAGGCTGTTAAAAGCAATGGATGCTTCTAGAAATGCACTGTAACTTTCAAGGAAGCCTATATTAACTGGAGAAAGCGATCCATTAGCATGCCTATTTATCTTAGTGGAAGTAGCTTTGTTGGCAAATGGTGTAGTTAGACTAACTGGATATCGCTCTCTTGCTAACCTTGACACCTTGGCAGCAAACACAGCAGTTATTAATATAATATCAAATAATAATAATAATAATATTAAAACTGAATGTGTTTATTTAAAATTGACATTTACATCGTTTAACCCTGTTCTTTGAACATGACTCTGTTTACTGTATTAATACATTTCTGTTTTTAGTGTGCATGATCATCATCAAAAGAAACAAAAGTCTGTGTAATGTCATGACCAATTCTACCTTGCAGACCTTGAGAATTCTACTGCGCTTATGCAAATAAGTTCACCCAGAAATAAAAATGAGCTGAAAATGTACTTACCCTCAGGTCATCCAAGATGTAGATTAGTTTAGCATTACATCATTAGCTCACCAAGATGCTCTGCAGTGAATGGGTGTCGTCAGAATGAGAGCCCAAACAGCTGATAAAAACATTACAATAATCCACAAGTAATCCACATGCCTCCAGTCCATCAGTCCAACCTGTGAAGAGAACAACTGTGTGTTTGTAAGAAACAAAACCATCAAGACATTTTTAACTTCAGTCATTTGCTTCCAGCTAAAATATCAGTCATCTATCCATACTATTGCATTCTCTTGAAAAAGTAATCTCGTCTGAATCAGGAGTGAAATATGCAGAGATTAGTCACCATTTACAAGCAACAACAGTCCAAAACAGTTCTAAACAGTTGTGTTGTTGGATTTTTATGTGAGAGGACAACAAGGTAAGGACTTTCTCTGGAGGAATTATTATTATTTTGGCCTTATATTTTGTCCAAAAGCTACAGTTTAAAGTTAAACTCGATTTGTTTCAGACAAACACGCTACTTTTTGCTTCACAAGATGTTAATTGACTGGAGTCGTGTGGATTACTTTAATATTAGAAACGTTTTGGACTGTTATTCAAAACTGTTAAACATTAAAACATTATGTGTAAGTATATGTATAATCAATCTGACTTAATATTTACATGTATTCATTATTTGTATTCATAATTTGTTATTGAATATGTACACAATTAATTATTTCTCAGACATATTTCATTAAGTTTACATATTAATTAATTGATAGCCAACATAACTGAAAATAACAAATGCACAATAATAGATAATAAGTGTTTCAGATAGCAGACCAATCGGCCAAAACAGTACAAGTAAACACCCTTTTTATTGTATGTATTTATTTGGCTACTTTAGGAGAGCCAGTATGGAGCTACGCAAATGCAATTACAGTGTAGTAAAATGAAAGTTTATTTAAAACAGATTACTTCTGGGATCAGACAGTCAATCAAGGGAAATGTTGACTGCTACAAACCTTAGCATACATGAGCCAATAGTATTCATCCTGTCATGTATCTGTTTAAAATAATTATAAATCCATGGAGCGTGTAAGACATTAAACACTTGATCTTTCAGAACAAAAGCAATGGCCATGGTGCAGGAGATGAGCAGAACACGCTTGAGGGAATGAATTTCTGTTTAATGGTTAATAAAAAATAAATGGATGGTTTGTAAGACTATGGAAAGATTCTGCTCATTTAGAACAGTGCTGCGTAATTTATCCTATGAGAGATGCTGGGCTTGCACTGCTGTTGACACAGTTATGATGTGGACTGGGTATGGTTTATTGCCGTTTAGTGACTGGAGAATGTGCATATTATTCATGCAAAATTAGAGAATAAACAGTAAGAAATGGTGATAGGAACATCTAAAGCCATGTTCTCCATTTTAAACATTGTTCTATCTGTAAAAGAGTGACAAAAAGGAACATCCTGAAAAAAATTTGATATTTTATAATAAAACAGATTAATCTACTAAATAAACCTCCTACAGCTTTCAGTTTCAAAGTTGTTAAAATACATTCAAGCATAAAACAGCTTACAACTGTAATACTATTTCACAATATTTACCTTTGGAAGGGTTGTGTACACTTAATGCATATGTCATTGTAAACAAGTTTGAAAATGTATCAATATATGTATCAAGATATCCTGATATTTTATGTTGACTTGTTAGGTTGTATACAGATAGTAATACAACATCTGTAAAACAGTACATGCATTTATTATAAAATACAGTAATAAAAAGTGTCACTTGGAAAAAGTTTGCAGTATATTGCACATTGTGGCCTTGGTGTGTCTGTGTGTGTGTGTGTATGTGTGTGTGTGTGTGTCGCTGGTGATTGATCAATCCATGATTCACTGTCTCAGTATCAGGCGTCTGCTCCTGTGTTTAATTCTCATATTTAAAGTTTCAGGACAAAATGTATTTTAACACAATGTGCTTGATTCAGCTTTTGTCTGCCTTCTTTTCTGTTGCTGCTGTCTAACTAATTTTGATTAGCACTTAAGTAAGAAAACAAATGTATTGCCTATGAAATGATGGACTATGTGGCAAAGGGAACAGTGTATTACAGAGAAAAATGTTTCTCATTGGTCAGACATTTACTGTTTTGAACACAGCCTGATGATCACTGTTGTCTTCTGTTGAATGCTGTATTATTAATAAAAACATTGGAAATATTCAGACCAGTCCTTTTTTCTTTCTATATACTTCAAGTGCACCCTTGAATTGTTTTTGTTGTCCCTTGAGGGTGTCTTTTTGCACTTTTCTTTGTTGCAAAATATCACAGACTGAAATGAAGGCAATTTTATATCACTATGTCATTCAATCTTTTTCACAGACGAGCAGCAAAAGAAACACAACTTGCAGGGGCAATTACTTTCTTTAGTTTCCAAACATGTCCATCTGTTCTCATAACTGCACAGTGTTGTTGGTATCAGTGTTTCTTTAGACGTTTTAAAGTTTCTGGTTCTGGTAAAAATAACTTAACTATTTGTTAAGATGTGAAAAATAATGTTGTACGGGATATTAAAGATGGCCAGACACTGACTGAACCCTAGAGAAAATATTTTTGGTGGGATGATTTATGAGCAGTAACTACAGAAGTGCTATAATTTTTTTTTCATCATTGTTATAACATTAGTGTTTTTCATCTGTTTAACTTTTCACAATCTGTCCAGCTCAGTTTCCAACTTGTGCAATGTAGTACACTAAATGTATCATTTTATGAAAGTAACTTTAGTTTTCAATTTTAGTAGAATTAATATTCTTAACAGACCTCCACTGTTCTGAATGCAGTGATTCATAGGTGTATTTATGATAATCATAGTGTTTTTGGATAGAAGCACTCAGATCTCCTCTTCGGCAGGGTATGATGTACTTGGAGGAGAGGAGGCTGGTGCACAGGGACCTTGCGGCCCGTAACATCCTGGTAAAATCTCCAAACCACGTCAAGATCACTGATTTTGGACTTGCTCGACTGCTGGATGTTGATGAAAAGGAGTATAATTCAGATGGAGGCAAGGTCAGTATTGACAAGCTGAGACACACTAGTTCTGAAAAACTCATAAAACTGAGTTTGGTGGTTTGGATTCATTGAGTTCATTTTAAGTGATTTTTTTAATTCATGTGGGTTGGACACAAAAAAAATGGTAGAGAGAATGGTAGTTTCTTGATTGTATTTCTAATTTCTAATCATATTGCAAATTAGACTGTTCTTTTTTTTTTCTTTAGAATTTCACAAATGTATGTTTTAATTATACATGATTGCATTACTCCATGTATTATTACATCCTGATGAGAATTCTCTCTTATGTAGATGCCCATTAAGTGGATGGCCCTGGAGTGCATTCATTACAAGAAGTTCACACATCAGAGTGATGTGTGGAGTTATGGTGAGTAAAACACTTTTACAGTGTCCTAGTTTTACTTAAATCAGTTAGTAGCATAGTATACATTTAAAGCAATCCTTCACTAGTCAATGATAAGGACTTATTTATAAGTCAACGCTACTCATAGCATAGGAGAGTCAAATTATATATATATAGGCTTTAAATAGAATTGTAACTACAGAATATATTTGGGCTCAGAACGTTTTTGTTTTTTGTTTTTTTTAATTAATACTTTTATTCAGCAGAGATGCATTAATTGATCAAAAGTGACAGTGATCTAGAAACACAGGCAATAGTTCAGGCGAGGGTCAAACAGAGTCCAAACAGAGCAGTGCAAGAGAATAATCCAAAGAAAGGCAAGATATCCAAAACCGACTAGACTAAACAGGCGAAACAGACCAAGACTAGAAACTAGTCAAATTCAGGATGGCTCCGTAACGTTGCTATCACAGACGTAGCGATATGCGCAAACAATACTCGGCAGTGAGGAAGAGGAAGAGGAAGTCCATGGCTTATGTAGGGTGTTTGATTGGTTACAGCTGTGTGTGTAATCAGTGCATTGGATGAAAGGAAATGTAGTCCGGGGTGACATGCAACAGTTTGTGTAGTGTGAGAGTCAATGTAACTGGAAGGCAACATCTGGTGGCGAGCAGACGGAAAACCACAGACCAGATTTATGACAATATTAGAATGATTTCTGGAGAATCATGCGACACTGAGGACTGGTGTAATGATGCTCAAAATTCAGCTTTGTGTCACAGGAATGAATTACTTTTGAAAATATATAACAGTTATTTTAAATTGTAAAATATTTTTGATCAAATAAATGCAGCCTTGATGCCCATAAAATATTTCTTTTCAAATCTAGTAAAAGAAAAATATTACCGACCACAAACTTTAAAATTCTATTGGTATTGGTGTCTGTATATGATATAATATATAAATTAAATGGTGTATTTAAATGGTGTATTCTGTTACAATTTTAAAATTACAAATATTTTATTTGTAATATTTGTTTTACGTTGTTTAATATTTGACAATGCAATATCTTTAAATTAATTGTTATATATTATTATAATTTATTACTTAATATATATATATATATATATATATATATATAATTATTTTATTAATTGATAGATAAAAACTAAAATAAACAATTAAATAAGATACAATTTCTAAATAAAAATAATAGTTGTATGTAATAATAAAAAAAAATGTATTATTACATTACATTAGCTTAGTTTTTTTTTTTTTTTACTCAAATCTGTCTGTATACTGAAAGTGATGTGTTGACTATTGTCATTCAGGGGTGACTATCTGGGAGCTAATGACGTTTGGAGGAAAGCCCTATGATGGGATTCCCACACGTGCGATTCCAGACATCTTGGAGAAGGGCGAACGTTTGCCCCAGCCGCCCATCTGCACCATAGACGTCTACATGGTGATGGTGAAATGTGAGTGTTATGTAGAATCCTGAATGTGATCAGTAGCTCCAATTCTACAGAAAGGTACTAGCACACATACAGTTCAGTGATGGTAAATCATGGATGTGTAGTATAAGAATTCCAATGTATTCCAATAACTTTAATGTACACAAAACAGCCTTACTGTGATTTTTCTATGCTATAATTTTTATACTAATACCGTGATATTTTATTTAGCAAGATACATGCAGTCACATGGTTTTTAGCCCAGCCGCTCGCCATGTTTGGACAGACAGTCTTGTGGACTGTGGTAATAAGCAGCTGGGTGAGCGGTGGGGTTTCTCATCCGGTTCAATCAAATAAACACAAAGAGATGAAATGAGACACGGACTGAACCCATTAATTCTAATTACATTTTGACTGTAAGCTGTTGTTTGTGATTCTACTCGCTGTGACATCTGTAGCCCCACGGACAATGAAATGTGAAATATTGATGGAGATGAAACGTGGTGTGATTGCGTGAGTAATTGCTGCTCATTTGGATAATGTGTTTGAGTGTGAGAACTGAAAGGAAATTAATTGGGAGGAAATAAGGAGCAGGCTGCTGCAAGGTGAGGGCATGTTACTTCCTGTCAGAGACATAATAGAACTGTAAGAAGTTCAGTAATTTGGGGTAATGTGGAAAGAAAAAAAACAGCTCAATAAGATGCAAATGAGTCTGTCTGTCTATCTATAGTGCCCTCCACTAATATTGGCACCCTTGTTAAATATGAGCAAAGGTGGCTGTGAAAATAAATCTGCATTGTTTATATTTTTATCTTTCATTCAAAAAGTAAAACAATTGAAAGTGGAACTCACATTATGAAATTAATGTTTTTCTCCAATGCATGTAGGCCAACAATTGTTGGCACCCCTAGACATTTTTATGGGTAAAATATCTCTGAAGTATATTCCCATTCAGATGGGACTGGCTTCTATGGTCAGATGAAACAAAAAAAAGAGGCTTTTGGCAGCAAACCCACCAGATGGGTTTGGTGCAAATAGGGTTAAAAAGTACCCCATGCCCATGGTGAAATTTTTACTTGCCTATTTTTCTGAAGGAGGTCCTGGACATCTTGTTCAGATACATGGCTTCTACATGACTACATGGATTCTATCAAATACCAACAGATAAAAACATCTAAACCTGACTGTCTCTTTTAAAAAAATCGTATAATGGGCCGTGGTTGGCTCTTCCATCAGGACAATGATCCAAAACAAACATCACAATCAACACAAAAAGGTGTCTCTGAGCACAAAATGAAGCTTCTGCCATGGCCGTCCCAGTTCCCTGACCTCAACCCTATAGAAAATGAGTGGGGTGAACTGAAGAGAAGAATCGCCAACATGGAGCAGGAAATCTGAAGGATCTTGAGTGATTCCGTATGAAGGAATTTATCTGTCTTTCTATCTGTCTGTCATCTGTCAAAATAAAACTTAATTTGAGTAACTACATTGCAGTGTCTGTAAAAACTGTGTAATTGATAAATGTGGTTACTACTGGCATTTCTTACTGTCTTCACCTCCAGGCTGGATGATTGATGCTGATAGTCGGCCTCGGTTTAAAGAACTCGCTGCAGAGTTCAGCCGCATGGCACGAGACCCTCAGAGATACCTCGTCATACAGGTGAAAATATAACTATTTTTGTATTATATCTCACCTTGAAAATCAATACTTTTGTCCAACGTGATCGCAGAGAGTGATGGTGTCATTTCTGCTCTCAGGGGGATGACCGCATGAAGCTGCCCAGCCCCAACCACAGTAAGTTCTTCCAGAGTCTACTGGACGAGGAGGAGCTGGAAGACCTGATGGACGCTGAGGAGTACTTGGTTCCTCAGACCTTTAATATCGCTACCTCTTCTCACACAAGACCACCAATTGATACCAGTAAGGTAAGAATAGCTCTTTGCTTTGTTTACAGTTTTTTTTTTTTCATGACCTGATAAAATATATACCTTGATTGCTGTGCAAGTGCAAAAAAAAAAGAAAAGTTTAAATGTAAAGCCTTTGAATATTTTTTGTTTTACTTTCTTCTGTTAAACGTACACTACCAGTCAAAAGTTTTCTTTTCTATTTTAATATACTGTATGTAAAATGTAATTCCTGTAATGGCAAAGCAGAATTTTCAGCAGCCATTACTCCAGTCTTCAATGTCCATGATCCTTAAGAAATCAGCCTAAAATATATTAAAATGAAATAATCAGAATTATAAAATGTATAGGTTATCTTCCCAGAAGAGTGTCCACACTGAGGCTCTGTAGTACTTTGTTTATCACGATTTGTTGACCAGTGCTGTAAGTATAGGATCAGGACAATCTCTTAACAGCAGTTTTGAAAGGAATTAACTAGTTTGTCCAATATAATGCATATGTGGTAGATGGTAGAGGCGGTACTGTTTAGAAAACCTTTTTTTGAAACAAAAAGATGTATTATACCCGGTTATCCAAAAGCATTTCATGTCAATGGAAATTGTTTAGTCAGCCATCTTTGCTTATTGGAACACAATTGGGCAGATGGAAAATTAAATGAAAATGAAATTTAGCTGAACATTTGCTCACTCTCAGGTCATCCAAGATGAAGAAGAGTTTTTTTATTTTCTTTATTGAAATTGACTTAGAGACATTTAGCATCACATCAGTTGCTCACCAATGGATTCTCTAGGAAATGGGTGCCGTCAGAATGATAGTCCAAACAGCTGATAAAACATTACAAAAATCTACAAGTCAGGAGAATGAAATAGTGTAGACAATATTGATAGCATGCACTTTTAACAATATCTGAAAGATAATTAATTCAAAGTCAGGGGTCCAGTGCCCAACTAAACAGAACACTAAACAGACATAAATAACTTTTATATATGTACCATATGAAATAAATAAAGCCAAAATGGTTTGTAATAAGTGAACATGAAAGTACCTAAAAACAGCAGCTTTCCATTGTGAACTTTCATTATCAAGAACTCTTTATTAGCAATAGCACTTCTCATAACCCATGTTATTGATCAAACTGCTTATGATTATGCTGTTATTTGCTGTTATTTTCATATCTCTAAATGTTTGTTTGTTTGCAATTTTTTGGTTTTTACATCAATAATGGCTTTACTTTCTTTGATTACAGTTACTTCTAATGTAATTGCATTTAATACTGTATAGACTATTGAACAATTCTATTTAAAACAGTATATTTTTTCTATATAAAACAATATCAAAATCTATATAGAACTATGCAAGCTTATCCCCAAAGATACTGCTTACATACAGACAACTGGCCTACTCACAATCAACCCTGCAAGACCATGCTGGTGAACCATCTTCACCAGCTCGATTTGGCTTGAGAACAGCATGACTATGGGGGTCAACCAGCTAGACCAGCACAGACCAGCATAAACCAGCCTGGACCAGCATTAAATTCACTGTAATCAAAGTTCATGCTGGTCCAGGACTCGAGTCGTGTGGATTATTGTGATGGTTTTGTCAGTTGTTTGGACTCTTAGTCTGACGGCACACATTGACTGCAGAGGATCCATTGGTAAGCAAATGATGTAATGCTAAATTTCTCTAAATCTGTTTCAAAGAAGAAACTAACTCTGAGGGTGAGTACATTTTCAGCAAATTTTGTTTGAACTATTCCTTGAAGAAAAATGGTTACTAAATCATTAAGGGAAAATAATTTTGGCTTTCATTACTCTCATACTAACCAGCCAAACATTGACCCCTTATTTTGAAAGTAATAACTAATTTTGTAATTCTGTTTTTCCATGAAACCTTTAGTTTCACCTTTAATAAAACTTCACATCATTGTATTGTTCCCATAGTCTTTTTTTATTTTAATATATATATATATATATATATATATATATTATTTTATTTTTATTTTTTTTCATACTGGGTCAAAAACACTTACATTTGGACGGCATGAGAGAGACAAAAACACTCCTTTCCACATGCACTAAGACAGCCTGTCCGATCTACTCTGGTTTTAGTACAAAATGTTGTTTTCTAGCAGTGACACCCCCTACAATTTTCAACTGACTTTTTATTTGTAATTGAACAGTATCATTATAAGACTTAGATTTAGACACCTAAGGTGGATGATCCATCCAAACTTTATTTTTATTCCCCTATATAGACACAACTGAGGTGTCGTGAGAGAGTTTTTAGCCCAGAAGATGGGATGGGGGCTTGCTCCCATGAAACTTCTGGATCAGGGAGTGACGTCTTCATCCCTGGAAGCACACAAGGTGCGGGTCTCGACGCCCTTGAGGAACAACAGTGTAATGGGAGTTTGAAGAAACAGCACATGTCCGGCTCAGGAGACGACTGCATTATACAACGCTATAGCGCTGACCCAACTGTCTTTCTCGGAGTAAAGAATCCAAAGACCACTGATGGAGATGGTTTCATGAGCCCTATGAACAAGTCATCCTCAGGTAAAACAAAAATAAAAGAGAGATAATTTAAATAGTTGATGTCTTTTTGAGGAGTTGCATTTAAAATCCACTTGGCTCAAAAATATGAGGGGGCATGTGTATGTTGCTTCTGTGTATACATTGATTATTTTGGTGTAAATCACCTCTGAAATACTTTTATTACACATTCTCTGGTTGATAATAATCGCAGTCGTTCCATTTCAACCTCAGATAATTTAAAACAAAAGGGTGTCTGGAGTAAAACATTAATCCAGTGTGTTGGGTTGAGTAGGATGATAAATCAATAGATTCTGAGTTCCTCCATTAAAAATTTTGTCAGCAGTTAATGGTCTCATCCTTCACCTCAGAGGGCTTAAACTAAAGAGTGCCAATTAATTGTGGGTGGTTAACTACAAGTAGGCTACTCACTGTTTTTGTCATTGTTTTTATGCTAGTATCAGTCGTTAAACTACAGCCATGAGGCTTTATGTTATTAGCACATAGTAGCAAAACTATAGCTGAAGCTGTTTAAGACTGTATAATTGTTCAAATGTTTGGGGCCAGTAAAATGTGGTTAATGTTTTTGAAACAACTTTTTTTATTATTGTCACCAAAGTTGTATTTATTTGATTAAAAATACAGTAATATTGAAAAATATATAATTTTTAAAATAATGTAAAATATTTATTATTTTCATACTTTTAAAATGTAATTTATTCCTGTGGTGGTAAAGCTGATTTTTTTAGCAGCCTTTACTCCAGTTTTCATTGTCACATGATCACTCAGAAATCTCAAGAAACATTTATTATTATTATCAATTTTGAAAACATTAAACTGTGCTGCTTAATGTTTGTGAAAACCATGATATCTTCAGGATTCTTTGATGAATGGAAAGTAGAAAAGAACAGCATTTACTTAACAAGAGAAGTCTTTGCAACAATCTATAAGTATTTTGATCAATTTAAAACATCCTTGCTAAATAAAAGTATTAATTTCTTAATGTTACGAACTAGCTTAATATGTAGTTTAATTGAAATGCTCTGTCTGAACAAATACATTTATTATCAAACGTATTAATGTTACTCTAGAGAAAAAGGACATTCTGTAACAATTTTTATTATTGCCTTAGACTGCAGACTTGAAACACTTAATATTCAGTATAATGTGACAAAAACTTGAATGTAGCTTGCTATCATGCTGCACTGCTATTTGAGTAAACAAACATCTTACTGGTAATGCTACAATGTATTAAAAACTGCTACTACCTTAAAGGTGGGGTAAGCGATTTCTGGTAGCCAATGTTGACATTTGAAATCACCAAAACAAACACCCCTACCCCAAAAGGGGTGATTTTCAACGGTCGCTTTGTCGCGTCCAGTGTACTAGACAGACTTTAGCTGTTGCGGCACAGACATGGTGTTACTCACCTATTGAGAAAAAACAAAGCATTCTCGGCGTCCGATCGCAGGCCTTCCGCTCCTTGAGTTCTCTCCAGTGCTGGAAAGCTGATCCGATATTTACACGGGTCCTACTTCTTGCATTATTGCCTTAAGCCTTCTTTTGTTCCGCAGACGTCTCTTTTGTTTTTTATCCGCCATTTCTATCTTTCTGTTGCTTGGCTCGCTAATGTCCGTCCTGTGCACTGAACGCTCTCTCCTCCACATCATGAGTAGACGTGCCCCTTACTGCTGATTGGCTGAATCAGTTTTCTAAAGCATTTTTTAAAAATCACTTACCCCACCTTTAAAGCTGCAGTCCGTAAGTTTTGCCTCTTTGTCGCCATCTCTCTGTTTGAAAACCTGCAATTGCAGCTGTGTGCGGAATTATCTTCCTTGTGTGAGTTGTAGGGTGGCACGGTTCCAGCGCGGATGAATCTAATGTTTTGAGGAGTATGTGTGGTAGTCAGTCACCGCACCGGTGTGGATTTTGTACTTTGCACTCACAGATTCTAGCCTACGTCCTGGAATATATGACTCAAATAAGCATTTTCACAGGTTATTGTAATCAGAACAAGTAACAAGTCTGCCATGTTTGTTCTGACCAACTGAGGAAAAAAGCATTACAATAAATCGCGCTACGAATGGTGATTTAATCTAAATTAGCTCATATCACATCAAACCGTGCAAAGTATTATTATTGTTATACTTTATTCTCAAATTGTTAATGTTAACAACATCAGCATTGCATGACTATGAGTATAGTGTGTATAATCTCTAATTGTCATACCTCTCGAATTTCATATTAAGAAATTATTTTAACCCGAAAAGCAAATTATGCTCCCTTCGAACTGGTTGTCTTTAAAATACAAATATTTTGTAATCCCAGGCTATCTGTAATCAGAAGCACATTTAAAACTGGAATATAATTTAATTTCATTCACATGTGTTTCATAAACACATAATCCTTTCTGGATTACAATCCACCATCAAAATGATACATTTCATTATTCCAGCTGCTGTGAGAAAAGGCTACAAACGATCGGCCACCTGCAGGATCCTCACATGCCATAGCCTAGTAGCCGGGACAAGTTCTTTATGTTTACAGACGTGACATAATGATGCAGCAGCATGCTCGAATTTCCCGCAAAAACCTACCCATACCACTCAAATTAGAAAACATTACTATAGAATGACCCTTGTAAATCGGACTAAAGTAAGGCGATAGTTTCGAACACTGGCTGGTTATTTACTTGCTCAAATATTGATTTCGGATCATTTTTAACCAAAAAAAGTTACGGACTGCAGCTTTAATGAAAATTGTAGCTGAATAGTGTTGCTACTTTTGGTGTCCATATTTACATAATTTTCAATTAAGTTTCATGTTCTTTTTAGGCCTTTATTCTGAAGATGTTCACATGAATATTCCTGTGCACGTAATCAGCCTATTCAGAATAAACTAAGACTGATGTTCTCATCTTGAAATACTAAAGATGCTTGCTCATTTAATACGCTGCATATCTATTATGCGAACAATAATTTAATCAGCTCATTAATTCTCATTCATTTCCTGAACAATAACACACAAGAATGCGATGAATTGTAAAATGTAGGTCATGAGATGCATACAAATGTAGGCCACAATGTTCCTTCCTTCTCTCCAAAAATGCATTTCTTGGATAGTTCTGTCTGTGTCTAATATCACCCAGAATTATCTTGTTTGTAAATGCACTGATTCATGAGTGCTCAGTTAAAGATGATTTATGTTGAATAAGGTATGACCCACAATTTGGATAAATACAATCATGTATTGTATCTTATGTGTTTGTGCATGTTAACACTATTGCTAGCAGTGCTGGGGAAAGTTACTTTTAAAAGTAATGCATTACAATATTTGATTACTCCCTAAAAAACTAATTATATTACTTAGTTACTTTTTATGGAAAGTAATGTGTTATGTTACTTTTGCATTACTTTTTAAATCTGGGCATGGCTTACTTGTTTTTAATATAAAAAGTTCTATATACACCAAAAGAGAAATGATTAAGCCTCAGGTTGAAGAAAATGTAAATTCAAAATTCACGTCTGTTCAGTAGAGACGCTCTTGTAACACGCTGACTTATTTCATTTAATTTAATATTAAAGTCTTGTCCTTATTAGAGAAAATATATCAATTGTAGTATTAGTTAGTGCACCTATATTTGTATCTTGGATCAAAAGTTGACTAGAATATTTCAAGTAGTCCGTGAGTTATGAAGGAAAATGTAAAAAAAAAAATGTTACAGTAGCCCCCGATCTCCCCTTCTACTTTGGTAACCATTTATGTGGTGAGTGACAATGATTCTGTATACAGTATGGAGCTTTTGTCATTCTATTTTCAATGTCTTTTGTGTCTATAGACCATCTTAGTCCTGTTGAGGAGAATCCTTTTGTAAACCAACGGAAAAATGGAAATATTAATGCACTGGAAAACCCGGGTTACCACAGCACCCCTGATAGGAAACCCAAGGGAGAGGATGAGTATATCAACGCACCCCTTTACCTAAACACATACAATAACAGTAGTGGTACAAACCAGGAGATTATGAGGAAAAATGGAACTTCCATCCCGCTACAGATGACAATGGCAGCCAACACCGCAAGTAGCCACGTTATCCTCTCAACACAAACTGGGAAAGCCCACCACCATGGCCAGGGAACACATGTTCATTTTGCCGTTCCACCTGTTCAGCCCCCCCAAACCAGATCGATGAGCCAAAATAGCCAGCATTCCCAGTCGCCACATGGTGCCGAATCCAATTCCTCTAGCATGTCTGGCAATCCCTCCTTGTTAACCCAAATCTCCCTTGTCAGCCAACAGATCCAACCTTGTCCTGCGAGTCAGTCCGGCTCTTCAACCCATCTGGCTCAAGTGGTAAAATCGGCAGTCACTAGTAAAAGTATATTCGGCCTTCCCGGCCACCTTGTCTATCCAGGTAACATGCTTCAAGCGGGTCATACTGGGACTGTAATGGCCGACAGTAAGTCGAAGAAGAACTTTGATTATCCTGACTACTGGCAGCATAGTCTACCACCCAATGTGACTCAGCCAAACCCTCAAGATCCAACGCAAGTGTGCAAAAGCAAACATCTCTACAGGCACAGCATCCGAAGTCGCATCGCCGTGGCTGACAACCCTGAGTATCTTTCTGAGTTTAACAAGAGACCAGGAACAGTTCTGCCACCTCCACCATACCGGCACAGGAATACGGTAGTGTAACGACGCAGTTCTAGAGAGCCAGATTCTCCTACCAGCACCGTACGATTAAATGGAATTACTGAATTAATGGAAAACTCCCAACTTCAGGAATTAAGGATGGAGACTTATCGGATGTTAAAGGGAACACTGATCAACCAAAGTGCCTCTAAACTATTCCAAAAGCTATTCCATCTTTTCTATTCCAATAAATCAGAATGTAACCAGATGTGCATCCTTTAAAGGGATAATTTAACCAAAAATGAACATGCTGTCATAATTTATTCTCTGTCATGTCGCTCCAAACATACTTATGTTGAAACACAAATGAAGATATTTTTTATGAACCCTGAGAGATTTTTGTCCTTCCACTGAAAGTCCATTACACAGAGGAAAAAAAAACTCTAATTTATAACACCATATACATTTTGTTAGTCTGTTTAAGTTAGTTTACTTACTATAAATAAATATATCTTCGGAAGACCTTTATTGTGATGTCTCTTTAAAATATGCATAATCTTTTCTGTTATATACTAACAAAAACACCAAAAAATAAATAAAACCCACAATAATTTCTGCAGTCAGTAAAGCTAGCTAATATGTATTCTGCACATCGACACTTTGGTGTCAAGCAGAAATACTATTTAGGCTAAATTATTTCCTTTATTTTGTATATTTGGGGAGTGTTACTTGCTTTTAGCCATGCCAGAACTGGAAACCATGATTTTCGAATAGTCCAATATAAAAATACAAACACATAGTAATTTCACTTTTATCAGTGTATACCAAAACTTTGGCATTTAAAAATTTTTCATTAAGACATCATAAAATAAATCCATATGAATCAAATGGAAGCTCAGATGTGTTTGCTTGACCAATGAGGTTCGTTGAGCTTCTATTTACCATATTTGATGTGCTGTATTTATGTGCATTGATCTGTGTTTATATGTGAATAAAAGTCTAAATGAAACCATGTCATGAAGTATTCATGTCTTTTCAGAAGACTTGGGTTAAACCACTCAATCCATATGGATTTCTTTTACGATCTCTAAGTTTTGATGGAAAGAACTTTCAATGGAGGGACAGAAATCTCTCAGGTTTCATTTAAAATATCTTCATGTGTGATTCAAGATTAAGTCTTATGGGTTTGGAAGGGCATGAGGGTGAGCAAATGATGAAATAATGTTCATTTTTGTGCAAACTGACTCTTTACTTCTCACCTCTGACTGTTTCTCCTACAGTTAGGACATTCATCGTGACATTGTGGAAACTGGTGTCCAACTTGACAAAAAGGTTGCTCTTGTGTTGTTGGTTAATCTTAATTGTATTTTTTATGAAAGCCAATTGAATTTATTATGGTTTATTTCTGGTTTCCTAAGTTTAGACCAACTGTCTTTTTGACCACTTACTGTCCATTCTGTATAGTAGCTATATTCTCTTCCATTTTTTGACTGACGGACACGGATGCATTACGAATCTAGGACTGCCCTCAAGAAAACTGGGGTACAGTAACTCTTGTATGTGAACGAGACAATGATGTGGATTGTAAATTGACGAATCTTCTGGTACCATAGTGGATTTATTAATGGACTACGCTGGTTGGATACTAATTATTTTCAATCATGTTCTTCTTCATGTTGTTTAAACTTACCAGTTTCCCCCAGTTTTGTACTCATATATATAAATGATCAAATCTGACACAGGCAGAGAAAGAGCATACAGGGCAGCCATACAGCTTCATGAGCTAATGGGAAATAAGTGCCTTCCTCAGTGGCACAAAAGCATCGGTGGACGTGCCAGTGGTGTGATTTGACCTGGAATCTTTAACTGCTGTAAATATAAGTGAAACCAATTTTAATATTTACTACTGAGCCACCCATGTGCAAATAGACTCACCCAGAGCCGGGAACCATACATTGAAAATATGTTGTTGTATTTAATTAATCTAGTAATGAATTTAATGTCAAGAATGATATATTCTGGAAGGCAATATTACAGGTGATGGAGGGCACAATACAAACTCAAATAAACTACTGATCTCCAATGGAGAATGTTTCAGTGTACTGTGACAGAAATTACTTTTGTCTGAAATGTATCCTGCTCTCAGTGAGAGTGTGACCGTATTGTGACCAGGGATAAACTGTTCATATGTTTTATAATCTGTAATGGACATTTGTCAAGTCCAAGAAGTTTGGTCCTACATGCACCATGCTAATATTATGAGACTTTGATTTGCTTCTGACTGAACAGCCATGGGAGATGTAGCTAGATTTGTTAGGCTTTTCTGTTTTATTATTTTCTTTGCCTTGTACTTGTGTTTGTTTTGGGGCTATTCCAAAAGATGCATATCATCCCTGTTGTAATTCTATTTGATGGAATGACACAATAAAGGTCTTGTTTGAGATTTTGAACTTGTTCTTAAGTTTCTAGTCTGAGATTTGAGGGTCTTTTGTTGTTGCATGGTACAAGCACCAACTTGTTCACTACACTTTTCACGTATAATCCATTATGGCTGAACTTGCTCTTACAAACAAGTAGGGTGGTGCTATCGGATCTCGCCAACCTCTCTTCCTTCACCAGTAAGTAAGATTTGTACTTTTGCTGCTTCAGCTACTTCTTGTTTTAGTTTGAAATTACTATTATTTGAATTGATAATTAGGAAGTTACTGGGATGGAAAAGGACACATTTTTAATTAAAGGATTAGTTCACCCAAAAGTGAAAATATTATAAAAAACTTACTCATCCTCAGGTCATCCAAGATGTAGATGAGGTTTTTTTTTTTTCATCAGAACAGATTTGGAGAAATTTAGCATTACAACACTTGCTCACCAATGGATCCTCTGCAGTGAATAGTTGTAGATTATTGTGATGTTTTCATTGTTTGAACTTCCATTCTAACGACTTTTCACTGGACAAAGCAATATAATGGATCCATTATATTGCTTTGTCCAGTGAAAAGTTATCCTGTCTGAATCAGGAGAGAAATATGAACAGATCAAGTATTGTTTACAAGTGAAAACAGTCTAAAATCGTTTTGATGTGAGAAGATAACAGGGGATGGACTTTTTCACTGGATAAAGCATTATTGTGGATTACGGACTGGTATTTTGGCCTGAAGCAACGGTTTCATTTTGAGCACTTTTTTTTTTTTTGGTCTCTTTTTTTATGTTAAGTCTTTGATTCAGAAAAGGAGATATTAAACAGATTGAGCTGCTCTTTTCCATGCAAACTCTCAAGCCTGAAAGGGGTCATCTGATGCCCATTTTCCACAAGTTGATATGATTCTTTAAAGTCTGTAACATAGTTTGGTTAACATTTCTCAATGGTAGTGAAAAAAAACACCTTTTTTTACCCTGTCAAAAACAGCTCTTTTCAGAGCAAGCCGTTTTGTAGCATTTTCTTTTAAATGTTAATGAGCTCTGCTGACCCCACCCCTCTCTTCCAAGCCACTCTCTGAGGGACTGTTTACTATAGACACATTCATTGTGAAACTTGCTAATTAGCATATTATTAGGAAAGGCGATTTGCAAAGATTCATTAAAAAACCTTATACTCACTTCTTCTGTAGGTGAAGCTGGATCACGAATGGTTCATGCATTCCCTTCAGAAACAAATGTAATCCACTGTTTACACTGTGTTCTGTTGACACAGAACACCTCAATCGCTTAGGAGTCATTCTTGTCTACATCTGCTCCGGCGGTGAAACAATGGCGGACTGATGACAGCTCACTCAGGGCGGGTGTAAGGTAAAACACCAGTCCAGCCTGTGCTGAAACGCTACTGTGAATCAAACTATCATGGGAGGGGCCTGTCTGTGTGAAGTAACACAGACAGGCATCTGAGATCGGCTCGATTTGAGAGAGGGGCAAAGATTTTAGTAGATTAAAACAAAAAAAAAACACTGGGTGGATTTTTATCATTATAGTTGGGTTGTGTACACACACTGCCAACACACATTTCATTTCACACAGCTTGTAAAAGTGCATGTAGCAACGGATGACCACTTTAAGCCAAACTTTTTTATCCTTTTTGTACAAAAATTATTGTAATTTACACCTCAACTTTTATCTCACAACAATATATATATATCATTTTTCAATATGGCAATAATACGGTATGTTATGGTATAAAACCAACAAATGCACAGCTCTAACAAGCATTTTACACTAAAATAAAATGACATGCAATAACAGCAGTAGAGTATGAGAGCCAACAGTTCATTATATAGCTTATATTTAAAGGGGTCATATGATACGATTAAAATTTTTCCTTTCTCTTTGGAGTGTTACAAGCTCTTGGTGCATAGAAAAAGATCTGTAAAGTTGCAAAGACTAAAGTCTCAAATCCAAAGATATATTCTTTATAAAAGTTAAGAGTCAACCACGCCTACCTAAAATGCTTCGTTCTAACACGCCCCCACATATCTACATCACTATGTGGAAATATTAGCATAATGCTGACCAAATATGCACGCAAAGAAAGAAGGTGTGGTTTCAGGAACAGCAGTAGTGTTGGTGCAGCCATGTCAGGGAGACGCTGTCTGATTCAGTGCGAAAGCAAAAGCACTTTATTTAGCCTTCCGGAAGTAGATGCAATTAGGAATCATTGGTTAAGATTTATTTACAACAGAACAGCACGACCCAGATGTTCGAATTTGTGCAACGCATTTTATGGATGACAGTTTTTTGTACAAGGCTGGCTGTGCACAAAGGCTATTTAAAAAAAAAAAATAGCCTTTGTGCACAGAAAAAAAGGGTCAATTCTGACCTTGCTATGACAATATGGCGCTTCTGAATCAGCGACTGTAAGTATGTTTTGTTATTAGTTTAAGTATTTGCTATTGACTGTTCAAATGCGGAGTTTTGCGCAGCGCAGAGTAACGCGTCGTGTGTGTGTGAGGGGAACAGGGTCACATCACAGGAGAGTGAACTGCCTGTCAGAAATCATAGTACGTCAGCTGTCTTAACCGCGGCTTGTGTACTGCATCATCACTGTGTCTGTCACGCAACTCTGTTGCCCGCTCGGGCTTGAACTGATGGTAAAACTAACGACATTATTAACTGTCTTGATATTTACTTTGAAAGCTGAAGCGATTATGGTAAGGGGCGTTACATTTCCGACGCATGCTTGTAGTGTTCGGCCAATCACAAGGCACTGGGTCAGCTGACAAATCAGAGCAGACTGCGCTTGTCAAAGGAGGGGGCTTTGTTGAAAACGACGTGTTTGAGAGAGGCGGGGCATAGAGGACCTACAATAATGGACAGTATTTGAAAAATAATATGTTTTTTGAACATTAAAGCATGTCAACATATTCTGTTACACCAAATACACAACATAATGATCTTTAAAATAGCATCATATGACCCCTTTAAAAAAGAAAAAAAAGAAACATTCAGTTTCAAT